GGATTGATGCAGCATGGCTCTTCTTGGGGATGCAGGGTTTTTTTTCTTCTTTGAAAAGTGGTACTAACCTATCCTGCCTGTGAGACATGACTCAAAACCATGGTGCGTTGATCAATAAAGTCAGCCTTTGAGGTTCCATAGCTGTTAATGGTATATGACAGTTGCACGTTGCATCATGTATGTTAGGAGCGAGCTCCTGCCACAGCGATAAAGTCTCATGAAGAGGCAGACATTTATGTGTGATGCACATCTTGTAAACAAGCTCTTAGAGTGAAGTCGTGTAACTCAAGCACATCTTTGCCGTGTTTTCATCAGTGCTAATCCTTGTATGCGAAAAGAAGCGCTGCTAAGTGTGCTTACGGTTTGTTCTGCTGGAACACCTGTGTGATTGTGACTGGCACGCACAACAAGCTGATGACATACGTACAGAAATCAATTTGAGCAATTCAACATTGCCGATGGTTAGGAAAGAGTTCAGGGAGCTAAGAAACTTTTTTGTGTGTGTGTGTGAGAGCAGCAAGTCAAGCAAGTCAACTTCTGAAAATATATAGGACCATTAAAACCGGAGTGTGGAAACAACTGAGACAAGTTCCATCTTCTTCTCGCTGGCTACATTTGTGTGAAGCCTGCGAGATCACCTCTTCGATCCTACTGTATGCTGTCTCAGGATTTATAGGAATTGTGCTCCTGCCCTGTCAATCATACAAAATGGCACAGTAGGCAGAGCCTTGCCTGAGCTTTTCTACCATCCCCGTAGGAGTCCGTCTATGACAATGACTGGCCGTTGAGGCATTCTCGCCGCAAGCACTGCGCCGGCTTCCACCAGTCTCCGTTGTGGCAGCGGCAGATGGTGCAGTCGTCCACCTTTACTTCAATTCCAGCCGGGATGATCGTCGTTCCAGCAAAGCAATTTGGACCTGCCGCATGGGAAGGGAGGGAAGGAAAGGAAGGGGAGAGAGAGACAGAAGAAGAGGGAATGAGAACGACAAGAAATGGATGTGTCTCTCCTGAGAGCTTCTCTTTGCAGTGGGGTGGTGGAGTGATGCAGAGAGCTGCAGGGAGTTAGGGGAGTCAGAGCAGACGTACAGATCTTTTCACGGGCATGCACCGATGGGCTTGTTTTTGCAACACTAAAGCGCTTTTGTTAGTCTCTCCTTCTCCCTCGACATGGAGCGCTTTGCATCCTAATGCGCCGCAAGCAGAGAAGCCTGCCAGGCGCTGGCTTGGCAGTACAGAGAGGCTGGAGTACAGAGAGACAGAGGAAGAGAGAGAAAGCTGCTTTTAGAGGCAGTAGGGAGGATGGTGTTAATCACTTCGGTCTGTATGAAAAGGCCACAGAACTCCTTAGCAATTCCTTACACAGTTTCATTCCACGCATTCACACACGCTGACTGTCAAACCAATAAAGAACTCAGATTAATTTTGACATCTGATTTATCCGTTAAACACTGTAGGATTTACTTGTGTGGATGTTGATAGGATTCCTTTAATTCTAAAACGTGCTGTGTACGACTAGAACACCTTACATCGGCATTTCTAATAATCTCACCAGATAGACAGATTATCCTGGGTAAATTTTAGGATCTGTTTTCCAGGACGCCAAAGAACGGTATTACATTTGTAAGATTTATCTGTATTACCACCTGAAATTATTACATCTAATTTGTTTTTCTCTTTGCCTCAGAGATATTGGAGGTAGTGCATCTCTTTCTCTACCTCTAGAGACAGGAGAGCCAGAAGGTGCCATGAGTTCATCCTAGTTTTAATCATTTAAAATGAAGCAATCAGCAGCTCAATTGGTGTGACGGTGACTTTGGATCGCTCTCAGTGTTCGGCTCGGTAAAACCTGCCAGATTCAAGACTCCTCTACGAGCAGTCATAAAAACTCATATGTCCCATAACTCTTGAAGACACAGTAGCTTTCACGCTTGATATTCACGAAACATCTTGGTGTCCTGTGAATATGATTTAGGGTCTGGTAGCTTAATGATAGCAATGTAAATGTGTCAAGATAGTCAACCTAAGATCAGAGGTACATTTCTGGTACACTGTAGAATTTCTCACCTGTCACACAATTTGAGCCTTTTTCACACCTACATTTTAACACACAAGCACAGGTATCAGTAATAAAATAAATAAAGAGTGAATTTCATTTATCAGCTTCAATTTCAAGGTCCTGCATTTGTGCATGCTGGCTCATCGTCTCACTGTCACGGCTTTCAGGAACAATGTGGCCATCGGTAATATTATTAGTAACACCTCTGTTTTCCTTTTTTTTTTTTTTTAAAGGCTTGTTAATGCTTTATGGAAAAGTAACTCAGGGCATTAGATTAAGGTTAGCTAAAGATCAGGATTGTGGTTAAATATTTAAAACGTCACGCTGACTCGCAGCATGGCACACGGAACACTGACTTTTTAAATCTTCAAGAGCATGAGTTTAACCTTAAATCAAGGGTAAAAATGCTGGAATGGTCTACAGAGGGACAACTCCCAATATTTTACAAATTCTTGCTTTAACTTTAATTTAGATATTTTATCTTATTCTCCCAGTTAAATTTACCCTTCATTCTAATTTGTGTTGTACAGTTATTTCATTTTTAACCTTAATTTATATTTTATTCCTTCCTAGTTAAATTTACCCTTTTTAATTTTTCATATTTATTTCCTATCTTATTCATAGCCTTTCCTTTTTTGTTTTCTTTAGGTCACGAGCAGTTGTCCAAGCATTTCACTACATATCGTACTGTGTATGACTGTGTACGTGACAAATAAAATTTGAATTTGAATTTGAATTTATGCATCGAAGGAATTAGGTTTAATTCCAGCTAGTGCTTGTACGAGAAATAAAAGATGCAGGAAGCCATAAATTTCCATGTGACATTGACAAAGGGAGCTGCTGGCTACCTGCTACCCCCATCCTTTGCCTTAGCATAGATGGGTCCTATGCTCTATTTTAAAAAAGAAAGAAAGAAAGAGAAAAAAAAAAAGGAAAAGAGCATGGGATCTGATCTTAGACGTAGAGAGCACTTGCCAAGTCTTAACTCGCAACGATCTGCCTCTGGACAGCTGGCACAGGTCACGGGACAAACTCGGCAGAGGTTGATGAGGGAGGAGGGTGACCCGTGCTGCTGCCAAGTGTGATTGTTTATAGCCCGATAGATAGGGAGACGCAAGGACACAGTCTGAGCTTCCTGTCACCATGTGAAGGGCGTGCGGTCACTCGTCCGAGCATGTGATCAATTCGTGGCCAATAAAATCTGGTGAAGTCAGAAAATGTTTGTCCTGTGTCAAAACTGTCTCAGCACATCATACTTTCTCTGACTACTGCCTAAGGATTACAATGTAAACTGCAGCTTGTTGAGAGAATATGTCAAAGCGAATATGTTCCTGAACCGTATCCAGCTCCATGGCACTGCTCCTCTATGATATGTCTGTTAAAAGACCACAATGACGGCATTCTGACAGATAAGGAGTGGCAGATCTGTAGTTGGTTTAATCTTGTTATACTGAGGAACCATTAGCCATTTTCAGGATACTACTCATTTCTTTTTGAGAATTACATAATTACATATTCCCTGATTAATTTACAGTAGCCTATATAATTCATGATAAAGATTAGAGCTGAATCAGATGGGCTCAATGAATGCAGAGCTCAGAAATGAGCACTGCCACTGGCCTACTATTCTATTGTGCTGCCTCTTCCTCTCTGCTGGTGTTTTCAGGAAGGAACACCAAAAAGATGCCAAGCTGAAAAGCTACAGCCTAATAATAGAAAGCTCTGACAAAAGTTTGGCAACCATAAGCACTGATTTGCTGATTTGTGAGCTGAAAGACATCCAGTTATCAAGGTCATATCAGTTTAGTTCAAAGTTGCTTTTTTTAAAGTCTGAAATATAGTTAAGACACTGGAACATGGGTGATTAATCTTGTTTTTCACTGTGTACGCACATATAGCTCCATTTAAACTCACTAAGTCAGTGACTAATTGGACTAAATGAGTCAAATATTCCTCAGTAACATTTTAGCCACTGGCAATTTGGTCATCGCTGCACAATTCTGTTTACAAAGCAACCCTAAAAGCTTTCTTTCACTAGAATAAGTTAATCTGGACCTTTTACCTGAGCTGGAATTGTAAATGTGGTGTATGGAGATACAGTCAGAACTCAAACTAGTAATTTAGGCAGCTCATTTTAGGCACAAAATTGTATTAGGAATTGTATAAAGCCATTTAATTAAATTCAGTTGTCTTGTAATCTGTGAAATAAGCATTACTCATTTTCAGAGACTGTTGAGATGGTTTGTTTTTTATGTAACCTTAGTGTTACATTGTAATTACATTATTAATTTAAATAAACCTTTCAAATGTATATCTGTTCAGTATTAATTTCCATTTACCTTCTAAATCTCTGAGGGAGGTAAAAAGTGGTGAATGTAAACATGTTGATAGATAACAGAGAGAATTGTTTTCAAGTACTTTCAAGCATTTGAGTACAGTTTAAAGAAAATGTTCTCACTGCGCTTTCTGTGACTTTCTTCCCTTTAAAGTATTTTAGCAGGATGTGCAGGTTATATACACAAAGTTAACCCAAAGCTTTACCATGACAAGCTACTGTAGTATACTTACACTAGCATTTACCTGGAGAGTTTTGCTTGTTCAGTAAGAAGATTGTTTTTATAGAGATTAAAGCGGTTCCCATATAAATCTCACACTGTCAGATTATTAAGAAGAGTATTATTTAGTATTGTTTGCATTCATAAAATATTATATTTATGCCTCTCCTAATCATTTATGCCACAATAAAGTAAACCTATATAAAAAAGATAAAATCCTTTTTGTATTATAAGACCAAAGCCCTCTACATAATGTTTGGGTTAAAGAAAAAGAGAGCAGCAATAAAGATAAATAAATAAATAACACAACAAAAAGCTGGATATTGTAGACATGTTTCTAAAGGGAATGTAAGTTGACAGCAAATGCTGAACTTGCAAAATGCATTTTATTAACACTGATTCTTTATGTTTAAAGAGAAAAAGGTGCAGTGTTTCCAGTTTTTCATTTTGGAGTCACATCATGTTTTTGTGATATTCCAGTGGATCAATTTAATATTATTACAATTCCACGGGATCTGTATTTAGTAACCAAGGAACTTTCAAGGTAATCAGATTCAGCCCTGCCTACAGTCAACATGACCTGTCTGTCCAAAATCCTAGAGCCATTAGTCAGCTTACAATTATATGGCTTGCTGGAAGACAATAATGCCTTCCAGGCACAGCAGTCATGCTTTAGTCCTGTTCATATGACCTATTGTTCTCAGATGTACTTTGTCTTTAGTGGTAATTAGCATTTGTTTACACAACGACCGGTTGTCATCCAGTCTAACTTGTATAGATAAACATTATACCTAGAACTTCATACAGCCATAAGCATAGCAACTATCTAATTATATTAACTACTCAATTAAAACAAAACTGGCTTGTTGATCTAAACTTAAAAGTGTTACAGCTAAGTGGCTTCAGCTGGGATAACATGTCTATCAGATGAGGTCAGGACCTGCTTCTATGACCCAGCACATTATATATTCTGATGATGTCAACATCTTATTAAATATGCTGCTTTCTGCTTACTGCTGCTTCAAAGTATTTCTAACTGAGAGTTCAAACTGTTGCTGAATGGGCTCATATCATCACAGTTTAGTCTCACTGATATTTACTTCACGCATCCTTTAAATATAATTTGCATTCTAAGTCAGCAAGCAGCGCTACAAAGTAAAAGAGATGATGATCACATACGACCTTTGGTAAACCAGATTACAGTTGAACTATGATGACCTGTAGACCTCCCTGCTTAAAGCTAGATTTAAATGCCAACCACATAAAGATATAGAGTCTGTGCGTTTGATGTTATGTGCTGTGGGGTTTTTTGTGCTGTGGACTTTTACCTCAAATGCTTTTAGATGCTACTTGTTTATAGGTCTCTTTCAGTTATGCATTTAACAACTGAATAACATGGGCTATTGGATTGTGACTGATTGGATGTGATCACGTGACTGATAAAATACCAGATTCCTTTGCTTTGAGAAAACGATTGGATTGCTTTTGCAGTTTGCTTTGGATAATTATCCATTTGTACTATAAAGTGTTGTCCAATTATTATTTGTCCAATTATTATTTATTATCTGAGCAGAGTATAGTCCTGTACACTTCAGAATTAATTGTGCTTCAATCAGCAGTGACATTATCAATAAATGCTTGTCTCCTGGTTCTAATGGCAGCCATATGGGTTCATGCCATAACATTGCCCCCCACCACGTTTGACAGATGATGTGGTCGGCTTCAGATCATTAGCTGTTTCTCTCCATGCTTTTCTCTTGCGATAATTTTAGTATAAGTTAAACTTGTACACCTTGACAATGATCTTGTGATCTTGTGTTGTGTTGTTCTTTCTTAACCACATAAATAATTGTGTGATCATACACTACAAATGTCTTCTGTGTGGTCTTTCAGGCCTTTTGGTGTTGCTGAGCTGGCCAGTGAGTTCATTTATGTGTAATAATTTATCAGATTGGTGATTTGGACCCTCCTAACGGTTTTGCTCTTTCTATCTCTGTCTTTCTCTGATAGGTTTATTTTGGTTTTTCAGTCTAATGTTAGCCTCCTTCAATTGTACTGATATTTATTTGGGGCTCGTATTTAAATATAGTGGGGAAAAGCTATAAAATTAAAATCAAATGCTTTAAATCAGCTTCAGATAATAAGTATTCTTTAACTGCCATGAAGTAACAAGGGGGCAGGACTCACCTGGCCATGAAACTGCTGGTTAGTGAATTGTCCAATTAATTTTGAGCCTCTAAAAATGGGGGGTTGATTATGTATTAAAATGGCTGTAATTCCTAACCAGTTATTGCAATACTTATGTAAAATCCCTTGAATTAAGGCTGAAAGTTTGCACTTCACTTCAATAAATTCCACTGTGATGAACCTAACTGCACATTCTAGTTGCACAATTTTTGCCCCTGTTTGAAGTGCAATGATTTCTATAACTGTATTTTTATTTAAAACTAAAACCTGTAACGGGTAAAGAAAAACACAAATATCTGTCTCTCTGACTATATGTAACTGAACTGAGGACATTTGGGTGTCTGCTTTTCATTGTCCCTTGGCCAAAAATGAGAGCTAAATAGCATTCGTTCATTGTCCTCTCTTCGCAGCCCTCAGCTATCCACTCCCGTAAAGATTTATCTGGTACCAGAGCCTGACGAGGAACCCTTGGGTAACCTAGAAACAGCAGGCCTACCACTGAAATGCCAAGGGTGTCACTGTGCCCTGTCAGCCTGGATTAGTTCTCTCCTAGCAGCTTCTGTAGCCTTGTTACTGTGTGTGTGTGTGTGTGTGTGTGTCACTCTATGTGTGTTTATCTGTTGAAACAGAAGAAAACAAGCAATGGTGAGAAATAAAAAATACAAGGAAGAAAATGTTTGTAGTTGTGCCACTGCGGGCATTTAGCAACTGCCTCCAACTAAGTTATTCCCTTTACTTTTAACCTGTAGGTAAGCAGCAGTTAAATATATACATATCTACATATACACTTTCTTTTTTCATTAGTTTGTCATTTAAGTTCAACAAGAATGCAAAAACATTTTGTTTAGTGAATGCAACGTCAAGTTTAGACTTTGAATTTGATATTACGCCAGGTTCACACTGCAAAAGTGCACTTACTGTACTTTACTCATAAAGCTCCTTCTGTCCCTCGGGACTGGTGCTGGCAAAGGGAAATCTCTCACCTCGCCTTGTAAATAGTCAATGAACCATTGGAATCCTATAATTCTAATTTAGGGATTGGTTGTGTGTGACAAGGGCTCCAGGGCACTGGGAAATAAAAGGCTCTCTGAGGACCCATTAGTCCCTCCTACCATCCCTTTAATCAATGGGCTAATGTTTACTCTGCTTAGTGTGTCATTTATAATTAAAACTAGTACTGCTCATTAGTGTCCAACGGGCCCAAGGTAATAATTTTAATTCATAAAACATCAATTACATCCTCATCCTGATCTAAAGGCACGGCCATCAAATGGTGATACCACCGATAAACTTGCTGTCATTGGTTTAATGAAAATTTAATGACTTCTAAGGAATCTGAATTGACTTCCAGAGGAGATGAGTGTTTACCGTTTTTACAGATGGGGCAGCATTGCTCTGGCTCATACACAGGGTTGACACACTCTGGGACGGCGCAATCGGACACCACACAATGCACTTCATTATTTGGTTCGCAGCGGCACCACTCACAGGGTGACGGCTGTGGGCAGAGGAGGAAAGAGACAGGGAATCTGGGTTAGATGACTCAGTAGCTTTCACCTTGTGTGTATGTGTGTGTGCATGTCCATGCATGCTTGTGTTTTTCTCATATGCACATTCTTAATAGTTTCAGATGCGTGAAAAAAAAGTGTTGTGATAAACAAAGACACAGGTTAATAAATTATTCACATCCACAGTTTTATTAGGGTACTTTTGCCTTAACAAAAACAGCCTATACTACTGCTGGCTTACAACAAAATCTCTAGAAATAACTAAGGGAGTCTATAAGGTAATGTTCATGATATTTAATGTTTGCTGCATTCTGCTGTGGCCTGCCTCAGGAAACAGTTCAGAGACTTATCTCACCACCTCTGCAACATGTAAATCAGTAGCTACTATGCAGCTCCCTGTGCAGCTGCCTCATACTTGACTCTATCTTTACAAAGTCTCTTGACCGGAAAATGAACTGTAATGCAATTTCATGGAGTGGAAAAATACAAACTGTTTCCAAATCACAAAAGGTCAGCTGTTCATCATATTAGATTTTCTTTTTGCTCATCATAGTAAACAGCCTTTGAGTGTGTCTCTGCACTGCTGTATCAGCAGTTTGGTGTCGGGCTTAGACAGTAATAATATTTCATATTTGATAACCCCTTTTGCGGTCTTAACTTTTTTGGTGGGAAAGCTGATCTATGTGGACAGCAGCCAGTGCAACATAAACAATAAGCTTCACATTATGATTCTAATCTTCATGATTTATTCATTTGAAGGATAAAATTTCACTTATTGCAGCAGTCAATAATTTTAATTCATAACATATGCTACCACAGAATTTCCTGTGAACTCTGTGGTGGCAGCTTTTAAACGATTAGTTCATGGGTCTTTACCCTGTTGGTCAAGTGTTGCATTCCAACTTGCAATATTTTTTTTCTTTTTTCCAGCAAATATAATTAACTTTCATTCATTAAAAAAAGGAGATCCACAGCTGTCTATTTATACATCGTTTTTCCCACTGGTGTGGGTTTGCTTAATGGGATGTCTCTATACAATGGAAAATTTACAGTGTAGGCTAATATAATAGGTACGTTTTATTTTCTTTGGATGGACTTTTTCCATTTTTTATAGTATGCTAAGCTAACCAGTTCATGCCTGCGCTTAAGTCATTCATTTTTTTCTGATGTCTTTAAATGATTAATGTAGTACTTTGGAACTGTGTCATCAAATATCTGAGCTGCATTTGTTCCCAAAATATATGGATTTATAGCCACGACAACAGCGGTTCCACAGTTTGTTTTTGTGCAGAGACAGGTGAAAGGGCTAAGGTATTTCAAGATGTATATGTGTTACTTTTACCATCTCTTCTGGGCAGATCGCATTAAGTGACACATAATCAAAGTGTCAAAACTCCTTTTGTTTTTATTGAAGTTTATGGGAGTCAGCATGCACATTAAGAGATATAGGGGAAACTGTGCAAAATAAATACAATCCAGTTACTGATTGTAGGTATTCCCAAGACCATGTAGAAAAAGTTCTCTGAATCAATGCAAAATAAATAAATCTAAAATGTTACTTCCTCTTATTAAACTTTCTCTCCTCACGATAGAACATCTGATAACTTTGCATTACATATGCTGTAATTCTGATGAATGTAGATGAAAATCATCACTAATTTCTTATATGCATTTGCAATATAAGAATAAAGCTGTAAATCATGACAAATAACAAAGTCTTTATCTCTAACATATTACTATGAGAAGACTGATTAAATATTTAACGCCGATGTAGCTCTGTAGTCCATCACATTTACGACTTGAATAAAAATGCAAAAACACTGGCAACAGAAGAAGCTTAGGTTAAATCAAGATTATATTGGGTAATATGTTTCATTGGGGATATTAAAGCGAGATTCGTTTGCAATAATGAACTACATTCCATGGGTTTATTACAATGTTTAGAAGAGAATATTCCAAATGAATATTATGCGTGGATGTGGCGCATAAACATGGCCCAGAAAATGTTAAAACCCCTTGAATAAACTTATCAAACTAGCTCAAATGATCAGACTAAAAATAAATGATGGGATGCTTTTGAAAGAAAGTCCCAAGACATCAAGCAAAGATCTAAACTTCTGACATATCTGGCATATAAAACCAAACTGATGCTCAAGTTTGTGGGCACAGATAACCACATTCAAAATACAGAGTAAATATAAAAACAGGAACATGGCAGCGCTTCTGCAGATGTACTCAGCTATAGTGTACTGCCAAAAGTGTTTAGATCTTGAAAAAAATATCACCATATTATAGTGTTTTGCATCTATTTATACATCATGGCATTGTGCTGTCCTGTGTGAATATATAGCTTTGCACCATCGCATACTGAAATTTAATGAGGTCTACAGAATCCAGCTGACATGATATCTATCCATCCTTTGTTTTAAACTGTTTATCTAACTAGGGCTGCTGATGACTCGAGCCTTTGCCAGCTGACACTGGGTGAGGAGCACAATAAACAGTCCATTACAAAGCTAACAAAGAGATGCAGACAACCATTTATGTTCACATCCACAGCTACAGTATATTTAGAATCACTAATTAACATGCAGAACTGTGTCTCCAAGTACCCAGAGACAACACGCAGGATAAAAATTGTTTGAGTAGAATTCCAGTGAAAAGAAACAAACAAACAAAAAGTAAAATATGATGATATACATTATAAGAGGAAGTAAAATTCTCTCTTGCTCAAATAAATATTTTGGTTACTAAAATGAAAACTATGACATTATCATGTTTTAGTGATTTTATAACTCAATTTAAGTGCCATACAAAAGAATGCTCTTAATCTGACCGCAATCATTGAAGTCATTAATTAAATTACTTGCTTTGCTACAGTATGCAGTTGTGTTCATATTTATTTGGACACCGACACCATTATTCTAACTTTGCCTCTGTAAAGCACTAGTGCAGATTTTATATCTGGATGCAACTGAAGCGCAGATTTTCTTACTTTAATTCAATGAGTTTATGGTGATTTCATTTTAATGGAGAGACAGAATATTAACCAATAATGCAGAAAAAAAACAAAAGAGGTTATAAAATGATTTCCAGGTCATTGAGTGAAATTAGTGCTTAATCTCCAAACAATACATGACTTAGTACTTGATGGATAAACCTTCCCTGGCAAGCACAGGGGTAAGACATCTCTTGTACTTGGTCACCAGGTTCACTCACCACAGATTTTTAAATAGGATTGAGGTCTGGAGACTCCATGAATCTGATGCACTTCTTCCTTAGACACTCTTTTGTAGCCTTGTGTGCCTTGTATGTTTTGAGTCATGGTCCATGATTCTGTCCATTAGTCCCTCAATATGTTTAAGTCATCCTGTATCCTTAGCAGAAAAACAGGCCCAAAGGCCCATAATGTCTGTATGGGGATGGTCTTCTTTTCTTTATACTCAGCATTTCTCTTCCTCCAAACACGGTGGATCGAGTTGATGCCAGACAGCTAGATTTTGGTTTTATCTGACCACAGCACTTTCTCCCAAGCCTTCTCTTAATCATTTAAATGTTCACTGGCAAACACAAAAAAGTGCCTTCTTGAGCAATGTGACCAGTGTGTTACCAATGGAGTTCTTGGCTACTGTGGTCCTAACTGCCTTCAGATCATGAAGAAGCTCCTACTGTGTAGTTTTGGCCTGATCCATCATCTTTCTCATGATTATCCTCACCCCAGGAGCCAAGATCTTGCACAAGCTCCAGATGTTGGCCATTTTACATTTCTTCCATTTCCAAATAACTGCACCAGCAGTTGTCACCTTCTCATCAAGCTTCTCGCAGATTTTCCCGCAGGTTTTGTATTTCATGCTAGCCTTGTTCTGGTCTACAGTTTTGTCCTCCTTTGGCAGCTCTTTGGTCTTGCTCACAGTGGTGGAGATGTTAGATTGAAAGAAATTTGTTGTGTGGATAGAAAATTAAGTGATTCTGTGGACAACTTGTAATGTGCTTTATACACATAAAGTATTGAGATCAGTAGTATCTGTAACTGATAAACTGCCTGATTGACTGTAATCTATGGCATCACAGGCAATCTGTGAGCCAAAATTCTGGCTGGGTTTAGGGGATCAATTACTTCAAGTACTTTCAAGTAATGACATGCAAATCAGTTCATAACTTTTATGTTTTTTTCTAGACAATATTCTGTCTCGCCATTAAAATGAAACTACTGTGTAAAATAGGCTGTTCCTTTCTTTGTAAGTGAGGGAATTTACAAATTCAGCACAGCATCAAAGCATATTTCCCCCACTGTCGTCCCCCAGGTGCAAAAGTATTGAATCAGTTGATGGACAAGCAGTTTCAAGTCCAGGTGAAGCCTGTTCCCTCGTTATTCCATGACAAGTTAAGCCGATTAAAGAGTTTGTTCTGAGTGTTAAACTTGCATCTATCCACTGGAATTCTCAATATGACATGCAAAGAGATGCCAATAGAAGTAAAGGTCATCATTAGACTGAAAAACCAAAATAAGCCTATTAGTAGTGTTGTGCGATACTGCAAATTTTGGTATTGATCTGATACCAAGTAAATTGGGCTAGTATTGCAGCTAAGAATACTAATACTGATGCTTTTGACCTGCAAAGGCGCCTTATGTAGAGGAGAGCAGTGTATCATGATTTATAAAATGAATCATCAATAATTTGCATATTCTGTACAAATTTGTGATTACTATGATTGGGATTACTTGCCACAATAATTAGTTAATACAACAACAAAAAAAATCCCAACTTTTCAGTATTTCAAGTGTTTTTAAACTGGGTTTTTTCAGAGAGCTGGAATTTAAATGTGCTAGTCTCTAAAGCACTTTAGGTCATCTTCTGTTGTTTAAATGTGCCACAGGCTATAAATGAAATAGATGTGACAGTCAACACAAAAATGTTCAGGCATTTTTCATAGTGCATGTTTGAGGCATATTTTTCATTTCCAAAAAAAAAAAAAAAATCTGCTGAGCTTAGAGTTTAGAAACAAACATCAATTCAATACCAATACTATTGATATTGCATCAATCCACCGACCTCTACTTATTAGACAGATCAAAATCTTTAGATGTGGCCATGCTCTGAAATTCTTAAAATGAAGGAATGCACTGACCAGCTCAACAGCACCAAAGTCCACTTTTTTTTGTTAAGGAAAAATCCTTTACAACATTTGGCCAAGCAAGAACACTATCAGGCAGGTAGGTGCATCGTTGTCTAAAACTTCAAGAGACACATTAATATTCTAGGTTTACAATGTGGTGTAAAGAACATGAAGGCCAGATTAGTCTGTGTCTTGGACACTTCTGACAGAGCCTTCACATTTCTGACAAAAAAAGGTCTCTGGATGAAGTCAAGATTAACTTTTACCGGAATGATAGGAATAGAAAAGTATGCACAAGGATGAGAAACAGCAGTACCATACCACTTTATCTGGTAGAAGTAAAGTTATAGCATCGTATGCACATCTATGGCTGCCACCAGAACCGGGCCACTACTGTTTATTGATGATGTGACTGCTGATAGAAGTACTGATAGTAGGATGAATCTTGAAGTTAACAGGGCTTTACTTTCTGCTCAGATTCAGCCAAATGCTACAAAACAAATAGAACATTTTTAGCAGCATTTGGCTTTTGACCTAAAACATCCTCCACAGGCAGCCTAGGAGCTTTCTCAAAGAAATGGGGTATTCTTCAACGGCAAAGCCTGTCACCTGATCCCAACCTAATAGAGCATGCCTTTCAGTTACTGAAGACAAACCTGGAGGGAGAAAGAACCAAGAACAAGCAGCAAAGGCCAGGCAGAACATCTCAAGGGAGCAAATGCAACATTTTTGCAGTCACAGACTGTAAATGATTTTTTATCCAAGTATGAAAAACCAAATCTTAACTGATAGATTTTTTTTCATTATCATTGACCAAAAAACCCCCCAAATCCAATCTTAACCAAAACAAAACATATGAATCTAATTGTGCATTTTACAATGAGAACAGATCCATTTAGATAATCAATTTAGATATAACGTAATATGATACATTTTCACAACGAAACAATAAAGCTTTAGGGATAAACCCTGGGGAGAACCTTATGTTTCACAGTTATAGACTTGATTGTAGCACTAGCTAATCCTGAAGTGAAGCTGTGAGCCTGAAAAGTGGATTCAACAGCTCCACAGAAGAGTGTAGGAATGCGTTTCCACTGTGGCACATAAAAACTTTATCTACTTTTTCCAACAATGTCTTTCACATAATTTGTCTCTCAGGTCAATGTGGGTGGTTGTTGCATGATATGCTAAAATGAAAGTGGAAGTTACAAGCAGGAGTCCTGATAAATGCCATTGTTTTCTCCTCCTTTAACGTCACTGATAAGATGGGAGGAACTGCAACCAGAATGCAGCAGAGCTTGAGCAGGCAGAAATAAAAGTGGACTCATTCTTAATTGCTGAAAAAGCTCAGTTGGTACAGATACCAGAGTAGATGCTGTAGAGGAGCTACTTCAAATCCATTCAGACAGAAACTTGCATGAAATCATGTATAATAAAAACAATGGATAACATGAGTGGGTAGGTACAAATGCGACACGAATGCGAATAAATATTTTTGAACAAGAAATCATCCAAAAACTGACACAGAAGAGGAAACTAGGTTCTTACTATAATATATGTGCATGTATTTAATCCCTAGGTGTTTCTAGATGTAACAAGTTGTATTAAAGTACAGACTGGAGATTGTGGCTATGAGAGACAGCAGTTTTTATTCACTATCACAACTGACCTTTAAAATAAATTAATTTGAAAGTGGTATTTCTCTGTAGGTTAATCTGCCAGATCGGCCTGTAATGCAGCCTGCTAGTTCAGATGCTTTACGGGAAAAAGTATATTAAAAATGCAATTGGAAAAGAAAACTTCTTCATGCACCTTTGACACATTGCTGAGAATCCTTCAATGTATTCAGCCATGCCTGGTGCTTTCAATGCGTCCTTTTGTGTGAGGTCTACCGTGAAGAGGATCAGTCATGCCTAAGCCCAGACTTACAAAAGAAAATGGAGCACTAGTACCGAATTTAGACTTGCTGCCAGATGTTTTGGTGAAGAAAAGACGCCTGTTGTCCCCATCTTTCTGGCTGGCTATTTGAGTCAATCGATTGCCATGCTTTTCATTCGCACACTGAGACAAACAGAGACAGGGCAGGGAAGCAATGAATAGTCAGGTAACCTTCAGCAGGGCAAAATGGCAATGCAAAATACTCTGAGACTGGACGACAGGGTCACAGGAAATATACTCATGCTGTTAAAAGCAGTGACAGGAATGAGTTGACAGTCAAACTGCATGCTCTGTTGTTCAAGTCAAAACAATGTTTTACCAATGGTCAAATAACACAGAGAATAGACAGAAAGGACTTGAGGATGAGGATGGAAAACATGCAGTACTAACACTTGCACATCAATTCTGCAAGTGCAAATATGTCAAAAACATAAAAACGTGTTTGACATTCTCTGCGGTCAAATTGTTTGCACTTAACAATTTTTTTTCCCTAATTGCGACTGTTGTTGCCTCCAGCAAATTGGATAAGAAAATCAATTTGAGCAATAATTTTAACAGCTTTTATGGATGTTTTCTCACATAGGTATGTTAAAAACACAACAACTTACTGTGGTTGTGTGGGCAGCTCAGCCTGTGTGTGTGTGTGTGTGTGTGTGTGTACAATTGTAAACAAATTATTATAATTGTCTGCAGACATGTTTTCACAGAATACTTCTGTGACTTCGCCACATCACTGCAGTGATAGAAAAGTACAGATATAATAAATAAAAGTTACCAAAAAACAGAGACATGAAAAAAATCCAACCACAGTGTTTGATTTACATTGATTGGAGTAATTCATTTATGAGATTTCCTCAACATTTAAATCTGGTACAGGGCTTAATTGCACTCCACTGAATAGTACTTGTCTCATGCGGATTAAGTAAAAGGTGAGCAGAACTCAAGCATTAAGGCTATTAGTCACAAATTTAGATTGTTTGCCTTTAAATGAGAACTTATTCAAGATCTGACGGCTGATTTGCACTGTGTGTACCTTTGTTACTGAACATATTAGAGCCCTCCCACCTTTGTCAAATCTGCATCCCTTCCCTAGGGGGGAGGGTGGTCATAAGAAGCATGGATGGGATTCTTCACATCTGAGTTCACATCCCAGCACTAGCCTGAAGATCTGGGATCTGAACTCACCCTATACCTCCTGGTTCTTGATTGCAGCTGCGCTGAGGCCAGAGGCACACCGGCAGCCATGCTGGGTGGACTGGTCCCTTCCTCATCAGATGGAAAACCCTGTAGGTGAAACACCTACTATGGTTGAGTGGCATGACTCACTCACATCGCAATAAAACAAGATATTGGAAATTACTGCATCTACTTTTACAAAGAATTTAAAGCTGAATCAACAGTATTAGTATTAAATTCTTTGTTGCTACAAGCAAAAACTTTTAAGTGGATGAGCTGTAGTGGGGAATGTAGTTTGGACCTATTTGTCAATTTGCTGATGCACGAGTTATGCCAGCATTAGATTCACAAATGACAGGCTGACATTTCGCTGGAGTCAGCTGCTTTGTGTTGAAGGAATGCCCAATACTACTTGCATGATCATGATTGCATACATTAGGTGCAATATACTTAATGATCAGCCTACAGTATAATGAGGTTTTCAGCATAAGGAAAGTGGAAATATGAAGTGTTGGTGGATGCCAAAAACAGTTCTTCATAGCCAGACATCCCAGTTTCCCAGAAGCTCTAAACAGCCCACATCTCTCTTGTTATTTTCCCAAAATACTGACTCTTCTCTCTTCTCTTCTCCATCATCTGCTACTGAATATAAATGCACACCTCTACACAATGCAACACAATCACCTCAAATGAAATGCCAACAAAGCCCAAACCAAAGGTTAACCTGTCGGCATCTTTAAACAGGGGTCTGCATATCAGACACTGACGGCCTTTGATTTCCTTTAACACTGCGGGGTTCTGAGGCTTTCATGTCTTTACTGAAGAAACTCAACTTTCACAATTTGGACTAAGACACTGCTACTTGTGTGGGCATGGATTGTTTTTTGAAAAAAGATGATCATTATGAACCATAGTGCAATTTCTACTGAGACAATCTATAAAAACAAAAGATTTTGTTCTTCACCTTGAAGTAATGTTGAAATGTCCTTGCCTTCTCTTGCTCCTCAATGCACTATTGATAGATCAATGTTACATCAGACTGCGAAGCTTTTGCCCTTAAAGTAGCCCTTACAAAATCACAGAAATCTGTGGGGCTGCAGGAGCTTGATTGTGTCTGACGTGCAAACACACCAATCATTACAGATTAAGTACATGGGTTTCAAATAGGCTAATCTCTCACACCCCTTGCTAATGGGAACACTATGTCACTTTCATGCCACCAAGAGTTGTTGTTGCCTACTAATGCAAAACATTTTTCAATTTTTTCAGTATCATTTTTTTTTATTTTAACATTTGAAATCTTAATGTCATTCTGTTTACAATGGCGAGAGAACACCTGAATATTTAAAATCTTTGAATGGATATTTGTATATCAATATTGTTGACAGATTTGTTGACAGAATGGCACCTAATAGAGATGCATTGCAACAGTTCTGAACAAAGGCATAAACTCCAATGCAATGCCTCTTTGCACCTCTAGCTGATAATGCAGATGAATCCCACAGCCGCTAAAAGGTTTTACATTAAAAACTGATGAATAAACATTAGCACACTATTTTTCCCTCCTTGTGCTGTTTGATTTCTTGTGATTTCCCCCCCCCCCCCCAAAAAATGCATTTCCAGAGAAACTGTAGCAGAAAAGTTAATTATGATGGCCTGTCCACACACCTGCTTTGCTTAACTCACTCTTTAGCCCCGTGTATGCTTCAGTTTTTTTTTCTTTCCGTTCAAGTGGCATGCTAATTATTTTCTTATGCAAAATGTTCTGACATTACAGGAAGCTTTGTTTGTTTTACCTTGAAGCTGTTATAAAACTACACTAAAACACCTCCTGTTGTCTTGGAGTTTTGGACAGCAAGCAAAAAAGGAAGACAAAAGGAAATATGCCGTAGTGACTATATTCACTAGAAGTTGCTGTAAATACAAAAAGATGATCATCTGGTACTTAACCGGGTCAAATACCTAAAACAGACCTACAGAGCTATTATAGATATAAACACTTCATAATGTGCTATTCTATGTTGTGTGCACACCTGGATTCACTTTCTTTAAGTTACCAAAAAGCATAATTAAAGCTATGCACAAAATTAATTTTGTGTGATATTTTACATTTTTCAAATGCAGTCTTCATCTTAGAAAACAGTTTTAATGATACACAGATATTGTGCATTTCACTGCGTATTTGACAGCATAAGATCAATATTTTTTTTAACCCTGCAAAGGAAACCTTATGAGAAATAGTCAGACTTATTGGACTGTATAAGCACACGCACACACATGTAGTCCACCCACTCCTGCAAACTACAACTGACAAAGTTAGCTTTGAAGATGCTTTTGAGCTTTTGAAAGACTATTTTCAATTATTCATTTAGCTCTTGAGTACCTTTTATGTGTCTTTAAAAGGGTAACCAACAACTTGTGTTTCCCCAGCTGTGGCCCGGTCAAACAGATATTTGCTGGGGTCATAAATCCTATCTGAATACAAGAACTCTTGTCTAAGGAGCTATTGCAGGTTTTTTTCTTCTAATGTCTTCTGCTTTTTTGATCTGCAAATGCTGGTAGTTGGTTTTGCAAAAAAGAATCTTACTGCAGGAATTATCTTCCAAGTACATCTGTTATAATAAATAGCCTATCTAGTTTGGTCTTATTTTACATCTTCGGCAGATGTTCACAAAATTGAGAGAAAGTTTTTCATGTTACTGATGATGATGAGAACATACCTCTAACATTAGTTTCTACTGTGTAACTGGTAACTCCATAATGGGATAAATTTACAGCTATTATGTAAAGCGACAAAAAAAAAAATGGAATTTTTGATCGATTGCATCATTCAAAAGCTAATTTATGTCACTAAAGTGGAGCCCGCAAAAATTCAGTTTACCATTGGAGGCATTTGTCTGACAACCGCAATGGATGCACTTATCTTAACTGGTAGCTGATACATTTGCACAGACATGAACAAATGCTATGATTAACCACAGAGCTATACCCTTGTTTTGGCTATGACATGTCATATTATATTTCAGTCACTTACTGCCTCAATCCAGTTGTGAGAAATGTGAATGAGGAGGTTTCCTCATGGGCAGCAACAATTTAAACACAGACTGTAGTTGTCATGCTCCCAGTGTCATTTATAATCAGGCAGTACTGTCATGCTCTGTAACAACCACTGAGACACTGGTCTGATAGGTAGAAACCTTTTTTTTTCAACAGACACAGGGAAGCTGGAGCTGCCAGTGATGACTCAGTGTCCACAAATCACAGTATTAAAATACTGTTATAGCATCTGTCAGTTTGGTAATGCTGGATGAATGTTCAGTTGATGAAGCAAGCAGAAGGATGATATCACTCTGGGTGGCAGCCATCTTGGTGCCCTTGGCCAATAAACACAATTTGAGCTTACTTTCACATTATGCCAAGGACTGATCTAAACCCAAATACAAAGCCTCACTAATTCGAACCCTAACAGCCCCACCAGATCACATCTGCACCACTGTTGTGTTACATTTTGTTATTTTCATCAGTAAATGTGATCAAAGATGATTGCTGTCAACAAGTTAACAGACTAAAAAGGAAAGAAAATATGAGACATGGTGCTTTTTACATTATGTTTGAAGTGACTTGTCAGTTTACCACGACCATAGAGGTGTTGCTGTGAACGCATATGATTGTCACAGACCTGTTTTGTTTTAATAACTTCTACACTTGCGTGTGACTTGATTGTGTTTCACCAAATGAACTGGAAAGATGGATTAGAGTCTTGAGCATCAGTTAGTTTTTAATAAAGATAAATAAGATGCAGAGTGGTGATTGTTGGTGGAATATTCATGTTCAGTGCTAGAGTTTTTCTAGTGGATTCTGGTAAACAGATGTTTTTTTTAAAGGCTGAATTATAATCTTCTAACTCATTGCTTACCTTGAATTCTTCCAGAATTTTATAGGTTTTCCCTCGGTACTCGCAAAAGTTTTTCACCTCTTTGCACTCAGGGCAGCATCCATTGTGTTCCACTTTGGTGCACTTTGGATGCAGTTTCGGGCACTCGGGTTGGTCGCACACAGGCCCATCCTCTGTGCACACGCACGGGCAGTTCGAGTGTCCCGGATAGAAACGTTCCCCGAGTTTGTAGACGAAGCCGCTGTCATCCACGCATCCCTTGCCCCGGTAGTCATCAAACACAATGTTCTCACCGACGGTCCGCTCCGCCTCGTCTGCGGCGTAATCCTCGGGGTTACCCACCGTGGCCGGTGACACAGCGCTCAGGGCCAACAGGGGGACGAAGGCAGTCAAGAGGAGAAGGCCCATCCTTTGCCGCGGCATTGACATCCACGTTCAAAACGGCTGTGTGGATGTCATCCTTAGCCTCTCTGTATCCTCACCGGATCTGTCCAGGGCTTCATTATCACCACCATCACGTAAGGAAATGAGCTGCAGTGGAAAAAATAGAAGATGACATGATGGATGATGACTCCCCAGCTGCTGGTTTGCACATCCTTACAAACCAAAATCACCTTTTAAATACTTTCCCCCCTTTTTTTTTTCTCTTTTTTGTTTGGCTTAGGCCTGTGTATGGGTATCTTTTATTTACGGTGCACATATGCAGTACCAATGTTTCAATAGAGATCATTCGGAATTCTTTATCATTGCTCTGTCACAAAAGAAAATATCTTACACATAGTGTTAGTGTGGTGGTGGTGGTGGTGCATTAGATGCAAATTATTCTCCTCTTTCAAAATCACAGCAACAGCTACGACTATCAACAGAGGGAAGGGTTATAACACTGATTGTCTAAAGTGGGTGGAGTGAGCTCCCCACGGTCGTCTTCTCCCCATTAAATAAAACCGAATCAGATATTACAATTTGAAACTTTATGAGAGGCTTCAGAGACAACAGGTAGCATTAACGCTTTCAATTCTCCCCCAGGTCAGTAATGATAGTAATGGCTTCTCCGTCTCTGGGTTTCTTGTAACCACCTCTTATTATATTAACCATGTTCCATGCAGACACATGCAAATATTGAGAAATGCGCAATGATTTAACCCAGAATGCGTCAACCGTTTGCAAGGGGAAACACACACATCGACAATCCAGACAGTTGGGGAATATATAGCTGAAGATAAATATCTCTATGATGCGTATTAAGCGACAGCTCTAACTCACTCACCGCTTTGAATAAGACTGATATCCACTAAGTGTGAAGGTAGGATCCCCAATACAGAGAGCGGAGACAGATTACAAATAGTCGCCTTGCCTATTGGAAACTTCACTCTATCCACAGGGTGAAATCACCAGTCTCCACGAGATACTGTAATCCGCCCTCTTGTCGTGATGATGTGCTTAAAAGCAACTAAACAACAGCCTTTTGGAGGTTTGCTCCCCTTTCCCCCCCTGCAGAGAAAAAGACATCCGCGTAAAAGTAGGTCTTCTTCATGATTATCCTCATTGGACTCACCTTTTCGAGACAATATCGCAGTTCAAGTCCAACTGCATGCGTTACAGACAGAGAAAGAGAGACTAAAAAAGAAACTGCTCGAGAAATCCTCTATAGCGTTCCCTGAGAATCCGGAGTCAATTCAGTATTTCCCCACGATGGAGGTGAATATTAGAAAGCAGCAGCCAGTCTTGTTGCACATGTGTGTATACATCCAGCAGTTGTGCGGAAAATAAAAAATCCACATGGGTAGAAGTTAAAGAGTATAAAAAATCGACCCATTCGCGGCTGAAGCCAGTCATTTTTTGAATTTGTGGCCGAGGTCACGTTCATCATCAGCAGGCGAGACTGACGAGGGAGCGCTCCGACTTTCAGCACCTTGGAGAGCGACTATCTTCTGCGTCCTGAGCCGAGCAGAGCAGAGCGCCCCCCCCAATCCCCTCTGCCAACCACAGTCACAACAACACTCACCTCCCACGATCCGAGGACAAGTATGACTGCATTACTGCAAGGGTTAAAGGCTGGGACGAAGTAAAACGATCAAATAGGTGGTCATTAGTCAAGACTGGTTCTGACAGGAGCAGCTGGTAAATTGAGGAGGTATGCTAGATCAGTTAAATATGTGTGCGAGCCTTCCCCCTGTCTGTAAACGAGTGCGCCTATGTGCACGCCTGCCTCATTATACGCCTGTGAATATGTGTCTCCATGCGTGCGCGAGTGTGCCAGCGCGTGACAGTGTCTTCACACATGACCCGCAGCATGTTTCTCTGAGTCACTCATTTCTAGCGCAGTTTACGGAGACCTATTTGTATTCAATGGTGCACTGCAAAAGGGAGTCTGACTTCTCAGCACCCCCCCACCCCCAAACACCACATTAACTGAAAAGTACAGTACGGCTTTGCAGAGCAACACCAGCTTTGTTTTACAAATGGTAGCCTATAGGGGCCACTGCCCGACTACAGTCAGTCTAAGGGTAGAGGACTAAGAGCTAGAAGACCAGTACTTAATTAGACATTCCCACAAAGACCCATAAACACCTTGTCAGCTGCAAAGTACTATGCATTTATGGTCATTTCTGAGTAATGGACATGCATTTTTTTTTAGAGTAATTAATACTTGTTAGTCCTCAGGGTGAGTGAGACTGTCAAAAACTTGTGTTCTTTAAATTTAACTATATATTTACATCTGCCGCAGACATCATGGAAGGTCAAATCTAATGGGATCAGGCTCATTCACAGAATGCATTTAACTATACATAACAGCAACTTTTGACTGATACTGCTGCAGATATATTTTCACGCATTAACTTTAACTGCAGGTTTCATAACCTACATGACATCTGCATGTATGTTTAGGTGTTTACTTGGCACAAAGTCATGTGCAAATACACGCCATGGCAATTGTTGTCTTTTTCTGACATATTTGTACAAGTAAGCATTTCACACTGTCTTTTTGACATTTCAAATATTTATTCAAGAAAAAATATTGCTAGATAGAATATTCTTTTGAGGAAAAAGTAGGTATATCCTTGGCCACAGTAGCTAGTACTGCCCCTCTTTAAGCTGAAATAACTTCTTGTAGGTATTTTGCATAATTGTCCACCAGTCTCTGACATCGGCCTGCTGAAATTTCTGGCGACTCCACCATGCAAAATCCTTTCAGTTGCACTATATTTGATGATTTTCTTGCCAATTTCAGATATTCCCCAGCAACATTTCACATGGATTCAAATCAGTTTTTTTCTTGCCTGGGCCATTCCATAACCCTTTATTTTTTCATTTTGATTCATTCCTTAATGGATCTGCTGCAGTGCTAAGGATTATTATCACACTAAAAGCTCCATTTCCTGTCCAACTTCTACTCTTGGACAGATGGCTTCACATTATCTTGAAGCACTTTTTGATATGATGCAGAATTAATCGCTGAATCAGTGACTATAAGCTGCCCTGTCCCCAAGGCAGCAAAGCCATCCAAAACTCTAACATATCCACAACCATGATTCAGAGTTAGTATATGGTATTTCTCTGAAAAACTGTGCCAAACATATCCAGGGGTCCTGTGGTCGAACAACTCTTGCTTTGGTTTGTCTGTTCAGACCACATATGGCTCGCTCATAGACTAAAAACGTTTGTTTTCCTCTTGTGCTCTTTTTGGTCAGCAAAGGCTTCTTGCTGGCATGAAGGTCAAATGTCTGCTGTGTTTTTCTGATTGTAGACACATGCTCTTTGATGAGCGGTTGCATGACTTACCTGCAGATCACGTGATGCATTTTTTGGAGGTTCTTGTTCAGACAGTCCTGGAGAAATTGGCCTTGTTTTTTGTGGATTTCTACTTTTCCTGTGTTATTCTAGGGTCTTTATCTAACAATATAAAGTGCATTGGGATCACGATCTTGGGATTGTGACACGAGCAAAACAAATATTTTAATAGCAAAGAGAACACCAGACCCTAGATGTCATGGGTTGAAGCAAGAAAGCTTTATGCGTGGCAGATTCTACCTTTCACCCATTGAAGGTGTTCATTTTTATGAATTTATGAATTTTCAGGTGCGGTAGTTGCAAAACTGATCTCAAAAATATATCAATATTATGTTTCATATTTGTACAACAAAACCATCTTTTAAATTTAAGGTTCTTTTTAAAAGAGGTTTAAGTGTTTGCTTGTTCACATATGTTTAGAAAAAAAAAACGGTGTCTATGTTTATGTATGTGACTATATGAGGTATGAAGATGCAGGGACACTTCTTCCTCGGATGAGGTGAACCTAGTTTAGCTCACCATCCCACGCTGGCTCTCTTCATTAAGTATTCACTAATTACAGGGGAGGAGGACTGAGAGGAAAACTGTGAAATTGGTGAATGTTTGGAGTACTGAAAAGATAAGAACTGTGCAAGAAATGCTACAGCTCAACATGAAGAGGTAGTCTAAATAAATCAAGTGTTTATGCTCATTAATGCACTGGCTTGTGCTGGGCCTCTTCTCTTCTAAATGTATCTCTGGTAACATAACTCAAGAAAATTCAGCATCAATCATCAAGCTTTATAATATTTTGCCCTGCACAAGTGAAAATCCATTTAGAGAGCATTCTGTTTGCCCGCTCCTGTCAGTGAAACTGAAGTAATTATTTTCTAATACTAGAGAATCTAATGGCTCAAATGTTTGACTCAGATTCTGCATAAGATCTCTGTGATTAGACTAAATAACAGAGTATCTGAGAGCAAAGCTTTGTCACTCAGGTTGTGAGACGGTACTGCCACAGCCACTGACAGGGCTCGTGCGACGGTTAGTTATCTCTTAAAGGTGGCAGGTCTTTGAAATGCAGATACAAGCGAAGCTGCAAATCACAACAAAACCTGTGGCAAGTGGTTACTCTTGGAAACCCTGGCAAAGTGGATAATTACTGTATCAGCTGGAACATTTAGGAAAACACGTGAGGGCAAACTAAGGTTACACTTTTAACTTGCATACAATTTCCTTTAACATCTAACATCTTTAGCATCTCATTGTCATCAATCTGCATTTGACATTGGCTGTAGATTAATAAATGAAAGCTACTTCTGGCAGAAAACATTTCTCCACTACATTTTTCTTTTGGCCGTTTCCTCTTTAAACTCTGCTTCCTTCACAAACTGTTTTACGCTCATGTTACCAAACATTTTCTCGTGGTTTCAGAGTGCATGTCTTTTCCACAGACTGTCCAAGACAAACATCTTTATCCCGGGTAGGAATATGCTGTTTTACCCGGCATGAACTACTTTATGTTCTTTACTATGCAGCACAAACCACCTCTTCCCCACAACCCTTCCCCCACTCTTTGTACAGTACCATCTTGGCTGTTGACCTGGTTAAAAAGAAAAGGAACACTTATGTTTTATAAAGCCTCTCATCTTCCTTCCTCTTCTCACACCACTTCCAGCAATAGAGTCAGCACAACTATATATATCATTTATTAAATCTGACATTGCACTTCAGTAAATGTTGGCGCCTAATATGAGATGTGTTGTTTAAGACAGCCAGCCAGCTACTCCAGCACGCTATGGTCCATTAGGCCTTCACTCTGGCTCATGAAAACATGGGGTGGATGATACAAAACATCATTCTGAAAGATGTACTAGAGCAACCACTTAACAGACTACCTGTGTCTTACTGCTGGATGGAGAAGTGCTTTTATATGACACTTTCCAGAACACCCTAACTGAGGTGTTTACATCTTAGCAGTATTCGATGCGAGGCAAACAACTGGCAGCCCACATGACGTGGTTCCAGTTCAATCAGCTAATGGAAAAAACGAGCTCTTCATCCCCCACCGTGCCTCGTGCCCTCCACCACCTCAGTTTTCCTGCAGCAACACATTCACTACAGCAGAGTCTACCAAATGGTATAATGGTTTTGCCATTAGGGCTGCATTTATAGCCTGCAAGCAGGTCTTAGGCATTATATTCGGTCACAGCTATTCATGCTAACCTATTAAACTGAATGGCAGAGATGGAGAAAGGAGACTGAGCTTGTGAGATAGGGGAAAAAGACAAGAAACCACTAGGAGTAAGGAAGGGGGCTTTCAAGACTTTTGTGTAAGTGAAGCATATATTTGTCCTCTTACACAGAAATAATGCTTATTCTTGATAAAGACATTGCATTAATATCTCTAGCAGGGTTTTTTGAACATAACAATGCAATATGCCTCTCACTTGCTGAGTCTTACGCTCATGGCTTGAAATTAACATTGGTAGTACAATTTTACTGTGACAAATGTAATCCTTGGCTTGAGCTCCAATCCGCTGCAATCCGCTACTGATTTGACTGCATAACAATGTGAATCCATGACTCTCTGGCTGATCCATGCATTACTTAAAAGAATTCTTGCAGAATCTGCTCTGAGTTGTAGTGAAGTAATTTAGTCATCTGATAGTAATGAATGTATTAGCTCACATTTCTTGATTTTCAAGAACCCCTATATAAGAACAGTTTTTGTATATAGGGTAGGGCAGGGGTGGCAAACTCCAGGCCTCAAGAGCCGGTGTCCTGCAGGTTTTAGATGTGTCCTTGATTCATCACAGCTGATTTAAATGGCTAAATTACCTCCCCAACATTTCTTGTAGTTCTCCAGGAGCCCGGTTATGAACTAGTCATTTGACTCAGGTGTGTTTACCCAGGGTGTTATCTAAAACCTGCAGGACATCGGCTCTCGAGGCCTGGAGTTTGCCACCCCTGGGGTAGGGTATGTCTCAGTATATGAAGGATTCATAGCAGTAGCAGTATTGGGGAAACAAAAAGGTTTTCTAAGGTTGATTTGATTTCTTGATGCCATTAAAAAAAAAATCTATAACATTTTTGATCCTGAAATTAAAATAAAAAAAATGCATGTCATGTTTTGGGGAAACAACAATGTCAAATACTGTGGAGTAAGATGTGTGAAGCTATGTAGCTGTAAAAAGGAGCTGAAAATGTAATTGTGTGGTAAGTGGTTTAGGAAGGTATAAAACAGTGTAAAAAACCTGGAACTAGTAAGTCTTTTGTAAAATGGGTGCAGTGTGAATTGTATGCTTAAGTGTTTCAATTCCAGCCTGCTGTCCAGAGAGTGCATCTCACAGGCCCAGACTGCTTCACCTCATCCACTTTACTCTGTGGTCCTATAATCCACATCCTGTATTACACACCACACTGATTCAGACATTCAAATAGCCCCTGCTACAGCAAGGGGGGATATATTCATTGGTATTTTGGGATGAGTCAGCTTGGTGGCTTCGGTGAATAGGGGAAGAAATCCATGTGCTGGTCTAATTTCGCTGGTAGATCGTGGGCCTCCCTGTGATACTTATTATCTCAGCTGTGTGT